GGGCGGCCGGGCCCGGGGCAGCGGGGAGAGAGTCCCCGGGCCGGCTCCCCGCCGCGGGGCCATCCCCCGGGGCAGCGGAAGGGCGACGGGGAGAGCGGAGGGGGGCCCTCTATCCCTGCCTGCCTGCCTCCCCCCCCGTCCCTGCGGCCTTTCGGCGAGGCGGCCGGGAGCGTTTTCCTCCCTGCCCCGAGAGGTGGGAAGCCCGGGAGGGAGGCGGAGGGCGAGCGCTTTACTGAGTGCGCCACACCGCCGCGGCCTGGAGCCGGACGGCCCGCCCTGACCCGGGCGGGGAAACGCCGCACGGGCGGGCCTGGGTGGCGGCGGGCCTTCCCCCCGTGGGGGGTCAGCCCCTGAGGCTGAGCGGCGGCGAGAAGGACGGGGAAACTTTTCGTTCTCGCCGTGGTGGAGGGATAAAACAGTGCCTCTGGTCTCCTGCCGAGTAGTTGTTCTGTCGTAGCGGTAGCGTTTAAACTTCTGAAGGGGGTAGGAGCAGCCTTGTCGAATCTGAGGGGCCTCTACCCGCGGTTTGTTTTGGCATTTCTCATTTCTGGCTTTGGGGCTTGGTGTCGTGTCGTCGTCCCCCGCCCTCGCCCCTTAAATTCGTTGGGGTTTGTTTGTTTGTTTTAAACGAGTGGGAGGGAAGCAGAATAAAACGTTCAGTGTTGTGTGCCGTGGTGAAAATCCTCTGTGTTTTTAAAAGTTTAGGGCTTACACTTGCCGAAGGATTTGAATATATTGGCATCTGTGAGTCGTCTACAGGAAAGCGCTGGAGGTTCATTTTTACTGGACTGGTTGTCGTTATAAACGAATTTAAATGCCGTATTGAGATTCAGCTTAAGACTATTGAAAAATTTTGGTTGGGTGAAAATAGGGGTAGTACATTTGGGTTTGAGGAAGGTAAGCTCTAGAGCTTTTTTCATCTTCTTCCTGTAAAAGGGTGAAAGTTCCAAACAGATAGTGTGAAGGTAGAAACATGCATGTAAGTGTAAATATTTGAGTACTGAATGATGAAAATATGCATGCAAACCCGGCAAATCTAATAATCTTGATCAGATCCTTACTTGCCTTAAAATAACTTTATGAAATTAAAGGAGACTTGTTAAGAGGATCTTTCAGGTTCCACAGTTAATTGTCATGAGAAATCAGTTTTGTGGTCATGGGACAGGTGTTTGTTTTACCAGACACTTGTATATACTTGTAAGATGTTCTATATGGTAAAATAAGCAAGATGCTTTGGTGTCCTTGTTTTTAGACATAACCTATCAAGTGACTTCCTTTAAAAGTTTTTGTTGGTTTTTTTTGTTTGGTTGGGTTTTTTTTATTCAGTAGAGAGCATTTCATTGCTGAGAAGTCTGGCTGTTTCTTTCCCTACAACATGATCTATTTCATCAGTCTCTCTCTAAAGAGTAAAATAAAAGGTTTGGTGATTGTGCACCCTCAGTTGCCAGTTGAATTCTTTGTCAAGTGACAGCTAACAGGGAAGCCAGTAGTAAGGCCTGAAGTTTTTGGTGCCTTGGAGTTGTGCTGTAGTGTATATTTACTTTTGAGGCTGCTTTTGTCGTAGCTATTTTCGATAGTAATTCCTTCTTAACTTGCAAAGAAGTATGCCCACTTGTAGGCCTTTGGTTGAGGTGTGTCTAAGTAAGCAAGAAACAGGCTTAGGTCACTCTTGGCATTTTTATGTATTAATGAGGAAACAGTGTCTGCAATCTGCTATTACAGTCACTTGCCCTGAAGGTCAAGAGGTCTTTGGCATGCCATTAGAATTATGGCACACAAACTGGCAAAAAGAACAGGAAAAGAGCTGTTTCAAACCTTAGAGCCGAGACTTCTGCTTTGAAAAAAGGCTGTGTCCAGGCTTCTTGAAACTTCTGTTTCACAGTTGTCCGTGAGCAGCTTGGTGCTTTCCAATGTTCGCTAATTTTTGGCTCTTAGAGGTAGGGGGCTATTTTCCCCCTGTGTTAAAATTAAATGGGAGAGGGCAACCTGAGATACAGAGGTGGCTCTCTTGAAGCAAATGGGCAGCAGGTGGCAGAGCCAAAAAGAGAAAGCTGACCTCTGGACTTCTCTCCTAGTTTTTTGACACAAGTGTTAGAACTCAAAGTATGACAAAAGTGATTTATTCTTCTTCCCCTCCCCTTCCCCTGAATTGAGCTTCTTGGCTCTGACTCCTAATTCCCTCCAGGTCTTTTTCTGTAGGTACTGTAAACTAGAAGAGCATAAGTGTTGTTTACTGTGCTTCAGTGGATCTGCAGGTACTGTGGGAACTGGAACTTCAAATGGTGGTATTAGCAAGTAAAAGCTGGTAAGGCTATAAAGTTGTTGGTAAATATGTTTTCTTGGGGAGATTCACCCTCTGCATCAGAAGCTGTTATCTTAGTGCTCTAGATCTGTAGTGCAAATATGTAACTTTAGCTGTTTGCTTCTTTTAGCCAATTTAACCCCTACAATACTTATCAAGCCAGGATATTTCCCTTACTCGACAAGAGCTTACAGTAGATTGTGCGTTTGGATGCTCAAGAATTCTGTTAAGGGGAAGAGTAAGTACAAAGCTCAGTAATCACTTTTTTCTTTGTGGTTCTGTTTGGGTACCTCAATATTTTACCTAAAATGAAAGCTGTCTAGCAGTGTGTACAGATGCTAAAGTTACTGGATGGAGAAAAAAAACTGCTAGGGAAGGAAGCTTCCAGTAGCTTCTGCACTAAGTCTGAAAAGAGCCCCGATAACTAAGTTGCTCTGATCTTCACAATGGATCTCTTTCTTTTTTCCAGTCTAGAGAGAGAAGGCAGAGGAAAGAGGAAACGTTCTCCTGGAGAGCTGAGGGAGAATGTATGCTTAGGAACTGTGTGGATCTCCATGAGTTTCCTAGACTAAATTCCACAGCTTGATTAGAAGCCTGCCCTGGAATTTCTCACTGAGATGATTTTCTGATTGTCTGCAGTATGAATATGTAGAACTGTCAAAGTTAAGCATTTGCTGCAGCATCCTAGGAGTGGTCTACCTGTGATACTGAGCAGTGCTTGAAATGAAAGCAAGATATATTTTACTCTGTAGCTCTTCTGTTTCTTAAAGTGACAGGCAAGCTTTGTCCAAGTCTGTCCTTCGTGATTTCTGGTAGTGACCCATATTGGAATTTAAATGGTTAATCAGATTATTTTAAAAGAGGCACTTCAGGGTGGAGTCATCCCTGTCAGAAACATTGCTGCTTATTCCTGAGAACTGTCTAATTATTGAACTTGTTCAGGCTGTGTACCTTCACATTCCCGTTTTGTTATGCCAACAGCAGTGTCTCCGTTCTGGAGTCTTGTTTCTGTTTTTCTCGGGTTTCCTTTTTATTTAACAGCAGTATTCCAATTAATCAAGTTCAGTAAACCAGTGTCCTTTACAAAGTATTTGTATTTATCCTGGTCCTGTTCTGCATGTTTTTTGAAGTGGTATCAAAACAGTGGCCTTACCTAGAAGAGTGTGTTTTTAGGTAAGTGTCTTTCCATGCAACTTGTAGTTTCAGTTTCGTACCTTATCAGACTTTTGTCATAGTATTCCAAAGGGTATGTTAGAATTATTCAATCTTTTCCTTGTTACTGCAGGAGAAAGGACTGATTTGGATTGCTGTAAGCATCTTATATTTTCTGTATAGTCTCTTCAGAGAGAAACTGGATATTAATATCTCTCCACCTGTACACAAGACTACTATTGAAATTCTGTGTCCTCAAGTAGCACTTGCAGGTAGAACGGGGTTTGTGCCAGCTCTGAGTGGGAGCAGATTTTGCCCCAAACATATACTGGGCTCTGATGTGCAGTGGTATCCTTCATACATTAACAATTCAATTCAGCTGGTATGGCTGACTCCAGTATACTCTTGCTTCTCTGTTGGAAAGAAGTATCTTCTGCTTTCACTGAAAAATAGCCTGCTGCTAAATCAGACTTAGAAGCTGCTATGAAAGGCTTGAAAAGGTTGCTGTCTACAGATAACTGCAATTGATGGGAGAAGACTTTATTTTCCCTTCTAAACCAGAATCGATGAAAAGATACTACCTATGAAGCTTTTGACAAGTTGGGTATATACAGGAAGTGAGTGTATTAGAACATGCAATAGTTCTTCAAAGGTGTAAGACTTTAATATTAAAAGCACTCCTCGCTAATGCCTAGACAGCTGATAACCTTTTAAAAAGGTTATTTGTACACAGAACTAACCACACAATGAATGAGGCGTTCAGTTCAAACCACAGATTTTTTTTTTTAGATCACTAGACATTCTGTAGTGAGGTCAAGACCTTTGTCTTGCAGCATATGGATACGAGGACTAAAGAAAAGCATACAGAGCTTTATCTTGACAATATGTACTTTTCTAACTTGAATTTGACATACTTGGTGTTTTAAAAAAAGGCACTCAAGTAACTATTTTCAAATATAACTTAAACTTCTCAATTTCTACTGCCTAGTTGTTTTATTTAGCAAACCAAAATTAAGCAAACAAAAAAAAATACTAGAGGAGTTAGGATTTTAACTTCTCTTTGTATGCCAAGTCTGTAATTGGAGAAAGAATATCGCAAAAAGGAGCAGGGGAAATTTTTGTGTCTGGAAGACATAAGACCTTACTTTCTGACACCACAGTTTAGTTGTGCTGTGTGTGAAAGGCTGTAACCAGTACTTCAGGACTTTGCAGGCAGTTGTTCTGTCCCCTCCATAATGTATGAAGTGCTCCTGAAATATCCTTGAAAGCCACAATGGTGGGCTTCAAATATAAATACTAGCTTATGCTGAGGTTTTAATGTACAGGAAATTGCACTTATTTGACATGGGTTACTCATGTGAGTTAATGATACAACAGTTTCTGAACTGGGACTGTTGTGGACCTCAAAAGAGCTCTCCCTGCACTTTGATAATTAAAAGAAGTTTTATAAAAAGAATTATATTCCTTTTACTCAGCATGCTTCCTCATGTTAACTGTTCAGGAGGTTTTTTGTAAAAGAGTGGAAGATACCTGGTAATTTTTGTATGTTTCTTCATCTTCACTAGTTTTTCAGCGACTAACTTAGAGTAGGGCTACTTTGTAACAAGGATTTGCTGGTATGTGATGGTTGCCTTTGATTTGTGTTGCCAGTGAGATTTACTTTGTGTCAAAATTGGAGTAGTGGTATTTGGCCTTGCCAGAGACCTTTGTTATGCTACAAGAAGCAAGAGAATGTACTACTAATCTTGATATTTTTTTTTTTCTTGGGGGGATGGGGGTGGAGGGGTGATGGGTGCAGGGCATGCTAAGATTTTGGCTTTTTTTTGTCAAAGCTTTTTATGAATGAAATGAGAAAAAAAAAAAGGGAGTAGTGTAGAAAGTGTGTTCTATTCTGGAAAATAAAGTTGCACTTCCAAATTCATCGTGGTAGTCTGTCTACAAAGGAACTTCGTAAAATCAGATGTTATTAATGGAGTTGATCAACAGTTTGTTCCCAAAAAAGAATAACTTCATTCTGTCAGACTTATGCAGACTAGAATGACTCTGCACGTGTTTTTTCTGTGTTATGCCAGGTGATACTGTGTATTGATGACATGTCGATATTCCTCAACATGAATTAAAAATTACGATTGCTAGGAAGAACAAAGTATTATTGTTCTGTGCGCTCTGTAATACTGCTGTTGCTCGCAGACCAGCAAAGGCTATGTGCCTTGTGAGGTGGCCAAAATTGAGTTTACTGGATTAAGGACCTGGCTGGCATGTAAAAATTCTTTACTGGGTTATTGTTAATCTGGATCATTTCCCAGTCTGGTTCACTGCGTGGCTGCACAAAACAGCTGTACCGTCACAACAGAGGGCATAGGAATGAGTGAGTGCTATGGAAGACTGCTGAAGCCAGCATTGCCAACAGAGAGCTGCTTGCCAAGCGCTGGCTGAGTCTGCAGCAGCACTTGGGTTCGCTCCTGTGTGGAATATCCGAGCCGGCATCAGTCCAGTGGGCCTACGTGAGTGCCTGGTTTGTTACAGTTACAGCTAAAGAGAGACAACTGGACCAGACTAACTGGAAGTAGTTTGTTTGTGTACTTGTAAGATCAAATTCCTTTCAGGAGAATGGAAGATACAAAGATGGAGACAGTTCTTTAAATAGTTTTATTTAAAAAAAGAGAGGGCAAAACTGGATAGGAACAAATGTTAGTAGAAGCTGATTAACAGAAATAACTACTATTTTAGTTATGCCTCAGTGTGGGCTACTGTTCAGTACTGTCAGGTTGTTTGCCTTTATGTGGTTTTTGAAAGGTTATAAACCCCTGAATTCCTGCCTGAAGTTGTATGGGCTTTTTTCTCTTTGTTCCATTTTTTTTTCTTTTTCTTTAGACTATGAATGGTAATATGCCATTTTTAAGAGATGCGATAGTTTATGATTTAGTAAGCATTCCACTGTATTTCTTCAGCTGCAAGCTCTGTAGGAGAAGTGAAAATGACCTGTCACCAGCTGATAGAAGACAGCTGGAAAATTAAATGACTGATTATAGTAAGGAGAGGATATCTAACATTTAGATCTTGTATCAGCCTGCCTGTATTCAGTACAGTTGAAGCTAATATGATCAGGATAGTTCTCAGTTGATCTTTGCTGGAAACAAGCATACCAGTTAGAGTGTGTATTACTGATTTGTTGCTTCCAGCTGTGATCTTTAAGTGTGGTATGAAAATAATGACCTTACAAGTTTTGTTTCTTTTCTGTTATCTCATGCATACAAGCCATCCTGGTGTATTACGTACCGTAGAGCAATTAGTGCATGGTTTCTTGAGATTTAGTTTGGACTGTATTCTCCTTTCTCCCAGATCTCTAATTTTTTTAACCCCCCCGAGAGAGAGTTCAATACGGTTGCAGATCTTGCAGTAGCTTCTTCAGTGTGTATTCAGAAAGGCAGAAACATAAGCTCTGTCAGAACTTGTATAGTGGTATTAGAAAAAAATTGAAGCGTTCCTGTGCAGTGGTGTTCAAAATACCACAGGCTTCCTTGAATTTTTGAAGTAGGAAATAACTGTGGTAAGAGTGTGGTATTTAACTTATTAATGGTAAACATTGGTTGAACTCCATGGTACTGAAATTTTGCGTGTGGGGGACAAAGTTCCATCTAAATGGCTCTAATCTGAAGGCCAGTGACTTAAGCAGCAGTGAGGGCAGCTGCGTACGTGTTGCTCTGAGGGGAGAGCTTGGGAACCTGGCGGGTGGTGGCTGGAGTGGTACTCAGGTTTAAGAGCAGTAGAGCAGCAGGACCTCTGTTAGCAGTGGGTAAGAATGAAAAATCCTTGTGTCTGCAGATGTGTCTGGAGCACAGCAACTTTGTAAAGAGAAAAGGCAGAAAAGAGGAGAGTTGTTCTCAGAGAGGGGGAAAGGGCACAGTGCCTTTGATGGAAGAGGGGCTGAGTGATTTGAACATTTGAAAGATGTAAATTCCTGAAGGTAAAGAGAATGAAGAGGAGAACATGCTGGATTTCTGAGTGACAGCAGAAGTGACATCAGGCTTTGCATGCTGTGGAGTAACTGTCTAAGTGATAAAGGCAAGAGCAGGTCTGCTAGGAAAATTCTTTTTCAAGTTATGCCAGGGAGAGAGTGACATGTTGCAACTTATTTAAAACCACTTCTTCAGTTCTAGCCGTATTAGAAGGCATTTCTTGCTACTCTGGCTTTGTGACGCTAATGTTGATGATACCTTTCTGAATGTACTTGTCTGTATAGTTGCAGAAGTAGGTCATTAACTCTTGATGATTAGAACGAGCTGATAATTTGTTTCAAGTAACTGGACTTCCTTCAGGAGTTTAGGCACATAAGATACTGTGCTGCTGGTAAAGAAAGAGTGTTGGAGAGACAGATTTGCAAAATAGCTTTCTCTTTAGCGCGTGTGTCTAGCTGCTTATTAGATAAACCATTGCCAGCTTGAGTGCATGTATAATGCACGCATTAAAGAAGAGAACCCCTTGTGGCTGAGGGCTCTAAAACAACCATCCTCTGACAACTGTCAAGACAAGCGTACAAGCACACAGTGGGTTTTTTGTGTGTGAGGAGCAACATAGGTTGATCCAACTGCTGTGAGGTGCTATGGTAAAAATCTGGATTCTAGTCTCAGCTCTACAACCTGCTTCCTGATAAGTAAGTCAGTCTTCGGTGATGGTGTGTTCTTTGCTCCATTTTCAGTGTGGATGATCTGTAACTTTATTTGTTGCTGTTAATAGTATTGGCAAAGGAATGTTCCTTCGCTCACTTAAATGGGTTGATCCTCAACAACAGTTTTCATTTTCAGAGACTACACGCTGCTCTTTAAACAACTGTCACTTGCTATGCTGTTAGCTAAATCATGCTTAGTTTTAACTTAAGAGTTGTGTTTGAGCAGCAGTACATTAACATTAGGTGGATTTTACTTTGAGTCCATACAAAATGTTAAGAGTGTTTGTCTTTTCTGTGAATTTCTTTGAATGGATAGATGGCATGCTGCATTACGATGATGACCTGGAAAATAAAATGTTGTTTCACAGTGAAGATCAATAACTATGTTTTTATCAGAGAAGTGCCTTTTTTGCTTTTATGCTCAAAGTTTGTATTTTAATTCTGTGTAGTTGTGTTATACTGGATGACAAGTAGCCTGCTGCCTTCTATTTGGTAAGGGGAGTGGATGAGGTTGTGACAACTTATGAGAGAGTCTGATAAACCTATTTTTCCAAGGGTAATGTGCATTTTCACATACCAGAATTGTCAATTGGGACATTTTGTGTAGATTAAATAGTTCAAAGAGTGACTGGCTGTAAAAATTTGACCATAAGGTGTGTGAGAACTATGACACCACATCTGCATTCACATTTGTGACCATTTGAAGTGATATT